GGTATTATAATTTTATTTCAAAAATATATATTTATACAAATTTTGATACATTAATAATTTATATGATTGAATGATTTTCATATTGATATTATGTTTTTGTATTTTTAATATCTTATTATATTTTATATAATATTTTGATTAAATTAGAAAAGAATATTACGTATTTTAAAAACAATATATAAAACAAGTATGAAAGATAATAAAAATTAATGAAAGTAATCCTCCATTTAAATGGATCAATTAAATGAGTACAAAGATTCGAATAACGTTAAATTTTCTATAAATTTAAGGAGTTATAAAATTACATTAAGATTATTTTTTTCATCCACAATTCAACTCCAAATAAAATATACCTTTGTAGAATCATAAAATGACGTTAATCACTGCCAAACAATATCGTCTAATCGACACCTGATTATCCTTTGGAGGCAATTGTTTTAATAATATGTGTGGGACACTTTTTAGATTTATGTAAAGGTAAATGAGTTTCAATTGTTTGCTTCATGCACTAAGAGTGGCTCAAAATTCATATAAACGTAAAGTGGGAAAAATCTTAAAATTATGACCACTTTCCAATTCTAACAAGAACGAGAAGAAAACAATATATATATATATATATATATATATATATATATATATATATATATATATATTACTGGGTGAATTCACGAGATAATGTTCTCGAACTTTTTTATTCACGATATAATGCACATTTCAGATTAATTGCTGGGATGGGGTGAATTCTACAGTGATCTCGTAGGACGCCATGCAATCCAGGCGATCTTGTAGGACGCCATGCAATCCAAGCGACATACGGGAGACATACGAGTGACATACGAGCCATACAAGCCATATACGAGCCACGAGCCAATGGAGAGGTCGCCATGCAGTATTATACGAGGAGAGGTCGCCATGCAGACGAGCCAGCCAATGGAGAGGTCGCCATGCAGACGAGCCAGCCAATGGAGAGGTCGCCATGCAGTCTGGGCGACCTTGTAGGTCGCCATGTAGTCCCGGCGACCTTGTAGGTCGCCATGTAGTCCCGGCGACCTTGTAGGTCGCCCCGGCGTCACCTAGCTCCCGAGACCATGCATGCACATGCAGCCAAGATAACTTCACGTGCTCCTGCTCCCCGCTGCATGCCTACAGCTATTGATGGCATGTGATCCTAGCTCACGAGACCATGCATGCACAATAATTGAACCATTGTTGTTGGTGAAATAATTGAGGCAGCCGGTTATATATGGGGTGTGCAAATCGCAAGAACATAAAAGAAAGATCACACATAAAAGAAAGAAAGAAAGGGAGAAGAGATTGCAGCCGAGAAAGAAAGAAAGGGAGAAAGAAAGGAAAGTAAGAAGAAGAAAGGGAGATAAGGTAAATTTGTTTATATTTAAATTAGTTTATTATTATAAATGTTAATTAGTTTATTAGTTTAGGGTTATATGATTGTTAGTTTAAGTTATAGTATACATAAATTAAAAATTATTTAATTAGTATATGTTTGATAGTTATATAGTTAAAAAATAATTAATTAGTTTGTTTTGTTAATAGTTAGTTATATAAAAAAATTATTTAATTAGTTATAATTCGAGTGGACTCAGGTCGACCCTTTGGACTTCTGCGAAGCATTGGATTTGGTAGCCATTCATCATGATCCTTTTTGGGCCAATATGATTCATTCGAGATCTGTCTGAACACATAGCTGTAGACATTTAATATCCTACGTAGGTGGAAGCATTCATCAACATAAGTGTATGCGCTTACACCAGCATACATACATGCAGCGACTGCATGAGCACATGGATATTTCCATGCCTGAAAACGACCACAATCACACCATTTGTGTCGTAAATCAACTCTAAATGTTTGGTCTTCTCCTCCGACGTTACGACGTATGCACGACACGACAAAAGTATGACCAACTCGGTCGAAATTATGAACAACCATTGATGTTGCCAATCGCTCATTTGCTTCCATTGATTCCACCACTGTAGGAGCCCAAGTTTTACCTCTATTTATGAGACTCTCAATTTCCTTGCCTTTGTCCGACCAAACTTTACCCAGTCTAAAGTACGTCTCTTTCACCACACTCGCTATTGGGAGATGGCGTGTACCTTTTAGTACCGAATTAATGGCCTCAACAAGGTTTGTGGTCATATGTCCGTATCTCCGACCTTCATCGTATGCTTGCGACCATTTTTCCCGCGGTATTTTTGAAGCCCACTTCCAAACACGCTGATCATCGTAAAATACCTTCAAATTCTCCAATCTCTTGTCAAAATTTGGTCGAAGTAGTTCGTATCCTGTTCCATAATATATTGTGTTAAACCGCAATTAAAAAAACCACGTAAAAAATACACAAATATTGAAATTAAAACTTACCCATGCTGACTATCTCGCTACGAATATGTGCGTTATGAAACTGGTCGATACTATTCTTGCCAATATGACGGATACAAAATGTCGGATATGCATACGGAGGTATCCAACGACTTCCTGGTAGTTCAATTGCCGCCAAAATACCCGTTCCTCTATCGGATATCAAGCAAACTCCATCTTCACGAACGACATATTGACGTAGATTGGTTGACTCATGTAATCCAACCATGGTTCCAATATCATCATCTTCTTCAAGTGGAACTGCAGCATATCTGACTGGGTTGGGGCATATCATAAACCTATACCTCAAACCATCAACTGCAGCTCGAATTTTTCTTTTTATCTTATGCTTCATTTCTATAAATGTGATGTCTTTTTTGAACATCATATTTATTGGTTTTTCAGACTGAAAAGCTACTCCGACCTCATTTTCCATAATCTGTCCATTATAATGGACAATCGTGAAAAAGTTGTTGCTCATTTTCTCTACAAATAAAAAAATAAATTAATTTAGATTAAAATATTAGATAAGATAATTTCATAAAATATTAAATCATTAAATATAATATAATATACTATTATATTATATTAATGATCAAATAAAATTTGTTATTTAACTTGATTAATTGATTAATTACTAATATTATTAATAATGATTTAATAATTATTATTAATCTAATGATTTGATATTTAATGATTTAATAATAATATGATTTAGTCATGATTACTAATAATTATTTATTATAAATATTTAATGATTTAGATTTGATACTAATTATTTAGTTATTATTACTAATAATCATGATTAGTTTGATAATTTTTTTTATTTTTTAAAAATATCAAACAAATTTGTTAGGCAAAATATCGTAATAATTCGTTGGCCGGATTATTTCATTCAATTAATTTTACTCCTTACTAATTTACACATACAATATAAATAAAACAAAATATATTTTTTTTAAACAACACTAAATATTTTTAAACACAATATTTTTTTTAAACAAAAATTATCTCGCACAAATTAGTTTATATAATCTAATATAAACTTACTATCTAACTAATTTACACATACACAACAACAAAAAATAGACAACAAAAAATAATAAATTACTCACGTATTTATGCCTTCCTCCTTTCCTTTCTTTTCCTTCTTTGTTTCTTTATTCGAATCAATTTCAACATGGGCAAATGTTGTGGAATAATGCCCTGTATGTGTAAACCGTTTAATTTATTTAAACAGCAATAGCTCCCACAAATTAATTTTATATAATCTAATATATTATAATATAACTTAAACTAATAAACTATTTCTTTATTATAATATAACTTAGTTAAAATAACACACTAATTAAGCACTAATTAATTTTTTTATAATATAACTTCAACTTCAATGAACAATCTAATATATGTTTAAAGACACTAACAAATTAATTAATATTTTTTTTATATTTAATAACTTAAACTAATTAACTAATTAACTAATTTTTTTTATATAATATAATATATAACTTAAACTAACCAACTAATAATTTATACTAACAAACTAATTAACTAGATTTTAGTTTTACCCTAAACCCTAAACTAACAAACTAATAATTTCATATAATAAACTAAATTAAACAATAAAAAATTACCTCACAAACTATGTTTGATCCTTTATCTTATTTTCTTCTTCTTCCTTTTCCTTCTCTCGGCAAAGTTTATATGTGCTTATGCTTATACTCCTGGTTGTTCTTCTCCTTCTATCCTAAACCCCATATCATTTATATAAAGCAAAAAATCGTTGTACAAAGTCTTTAAAATTTGACTATTGAATAAAATATTATTAGGATTGAATCGTATAACTATTGAGCATTGAAAGTCTTCAATTGAACATCAATATTTGTTGTATTTAACAGCTAAATTAACGCTGCAATCATACAGCTATGGATGCAACGCATGCAGCTACGGATGCAGGAATCTCCCAGCTAGCTATGGATGCAACGCATGCATGAGTGATACAGTTAAAGCTTGGTCGTTGCATGCATGAGTGCTACAGTTAAAGCTTGGTCGCGATGCAGGAATCTCCCAGCTATGGAGACTCCATGGCGACCTACCACCTACCCTACCACCTACCATGTCGTAGGGACTCCATGGCGACCTACCATGTCGTCGGGACTCCATGGCGACCTACCATGTCGCGACCTACCATGTCGCCGGCAACCTAGAATCGATCCTTGGTCGCCCCGAGTGCCCCATGCATGAACCGATCCTTGGTCATCCTTGGTGCATGGCCCATGCAGAGGTTTGCCGAGATCAGACCACGTGAACAAAGCGCATGCGACCTATCCCATGCCTCGTGCATGGCCCATGCATAGCACCAAAGCAGCATCAGCGAGCAACAGCGGCCACCAAAAGCAAATAATGATGGACGCCGGGCGTGCATGGCGACCTTATAGGACGCCGGGCGTGCATGGCGACCTATAAGGACGCCGGGCGTGCATGGCGACCTATGTTGCCACTGTAGAATTTACCCCATTCGAGCAATTAATCTGCCCAGTGCATCATCTCGTAAAATATTTTTTTTGAATCCATTATGTCGTGAGTTTTGCCATATATTACTACCAAACATTACACTAAAATACTCTGGTTTTTAAAAACAAACCGTTTGTTTTCTTCTTCATCCCATCAGTTTGCAAAAGTATTAATATACCCCAAAAGTAATTAAACCCACCATTATATATACATATATATGTGTGTGTCTGTAACCATGTTTAAGTGATTAAAGGTGGGGTTTGATCGGACATGACAGTAACGACATTATTGCATGGCCATGCAGATGAAAACTGCTGGAATTGATTCAAAATCAAAATCTGATGTACGTCCGATAATTTTCGTCGGAGAATACTGTGTTCGGATCGGAGTCGGTCGTTGTCTGTCGTTACACGGTGACAGTGGTAAAGAACGGACCTCAACCGGTTGGTCAGTTCTCTGTTCTCGACTCGAAGCCGGTTCACCTGGTTCCTTAAGTTTTCTAAATGCTTCTGTTTACGCATCCGTGACCTCCTGGCCGATTCCCGGTTGGATATCATACGTCTCCTCTTCCGTTCGTCGACGACGGAGGAATCCAGTTGGTTCGGTTCTTCCGAACCAGAGTTAGAGTTGTTTTGGTCTTGGGTTGGTTCATCTAAAACGGAACCCAATATTGCGTCGGGTTCTATTGTTTGGAAAGTAGAGAAAAGTTCCGGGCAATGATCCCACGGCGTGAAGCCGTTTTCAAAAGCCGGAAACGGATCGTTTTCCAATTTCGAACCGGAGGAAAACATGGCCGGAACTGTGGACAACATGACTTTAGTACTATTACTAATAATAATGGAAACAAAAACAAAAGCTTCTAAATAATATAAGGGAAAGGGAGGAAAGGAGGAGAAAAGGGAGGAAAGGAGGATAAAAGGGAAGAAAGGCAGCGTAGGAGGCTCATATTTATGGACGAACCCGAGGGGTATTGTCGGCTCCACGTTATTGCATGAATAGTGCATCTCAAGGGTATTTTGGTAAGTACATTACATTTTTTTATATACACGTATCAATTATAAACCGTACGTGTATAGATATTAACTTTTGAGTCAGGTGCAACTACGTAAGTTATACTACTTGTTTTCGTAAGCAATTTGGTTCCACTAATAAAGATAGGGTAATTTACATAAATTTTTCATTCATGGTTCTCAATTTTGATAGTTTTTTAAACTTTAATTAAAAATTTTAAACTATATAATGGGTGTATCTTAAGTAAAATATTTTAATTTTATATAAATAATAATAATACGAGCCAACGGTTTCATTTTTTCTTAGTCACGAAGAAACAAAATAGTGTGGGATCCATGGTAAGCACGTGGCGGATTATAATAGGAGGAATATGAAAAGAGCCAATAAATTGGGAGAATGCTGATGTGGAGCCAAGTATGAGAGGAAAAGGCTATGGATAATTTAATTGATATCTTTTGAAACTTACGAGTTAAAATGTTCTCTTTTAATGCAGGTTTTGGTTAGCAGAAAATGTTATTATTAAAGAGAATAACTTTTTTCGAATTTATATTTTTATGTTTGGTTCACGTATAAAATTATAATATGCTAATAACATATTATCAATATTATAATTTTGTAGTTAAAATAGTAAAAATATCGTTACCTTCAAATTCTTATGTATTATATAATTCTCACCACCTTTAGGCAATGATATCCATAGAATAATGAATTCTTTTCATATGTATTATTCTCAATTCTTAGTCTTTGTGTTTTTAATCAAAATTATAAACATAGTAATAATATACAAAGAATTTGATTTAGTAAAGTATTAATAAATTTAAGTAATTAAAATCATTTTATATTTTTAATATTTAATATATTAGTTATCTATAATTTTATAAGGTGGAAAATGAAATTATTGTAAAAATATAATTATTTAAAATAATATTTAGCTTTGAGTTATTAAAAAAAATGGATCTTATACATTGAAAAACAATATCTTTATTCACTCGAGATCACAATAATACTTTTTTACATTATATTTTATATAAATAAATATGATACTTATGAAAATTATTTAAAAATATAAGTTCGATATACTAATTATATTAATTATATGTTAAATGTATTTTTCCTTTAAAAGTTAAATAGTGTAACAATTAAAATATTTTTATAAAATTTCATTCGAATATTTATAATTTAATATTAAAGTTTAACTTGTTGGAAAAATAAACATATATCACAAGGATAATTTGGTAAAATATTCATCCAAGTAATCATATATTTCTCCAACCAAACATTGTAATCTTACATTTCTGTTAAACAAATCAAACAATGTAATACAATATTCTCATAGTAATGTTACATTTCAATAATCTTATTTTCAAAGATAGTTTTATATTCCGTGAACCAAATACCCCCAAGGATAAACTAATTATTTGGTCAATCACTTATTGCTTAGTTTCTATTTTAGTAACTCAATTATTATTTTTAAACTATACTTAATATTACATTTTGTTTTTGTTTTTGTCACCTATCGTTAAAAAGTTAATGATAATGTTGGTGTGTCATCCTAGGATAATGTCACATCAATAATTAAAAAAACTCATGTCAATATCATCGTTATTTGTTAATGGCAAGTAACCAAAATAAAACTAAAACAAAATATTATGTATGATTTTGAAAAAATAATAATTAATTGATTAAAACAAAAACTTAATAGTATGTGGATGGCGAAATAAATAATTTACTCTCCTTTTAATTTAAAAATCTAAGTGATAATAAACCATTTACATATTGTATATTTTTCCTGATCTTTTGAGGCTAGATAATTTTTAAAAATTGTATATTTAACAAAAATAAATAAATGAATTGATAAATGAAATTCTTAAAAAAAAAAATCAGATCTCCCTTTTCTCTCTTGCGTTGCATTGCGCCTTTTTTTTCCATATTTTTTCATTGCCAGCAATAACATTAGTCTTGAAGTAATTGCCAAACGTCTAATTTTGGATTAGTCGTCGATAATTAATTTTTTCTTTTTTTCGTCCTTATCATATTTTATAATTTAACTTATTATTTTAATTAATCTTCTCTTTTTTTTAAATGAAAAAAATAGGTTAGTTTATCTATTTTATAGAATGTCTTATTTTTTTTTTCTTATCACAATTAAATTTGATGTCGTCTCTCCATATCTCAATTACGCATATTAGATTATTTTGTTGATTTATTATTGTTTTGGACCACTTGCATAGATATTGATAGACACTGACAATCATCGACGATATGTTGCAATTGAGTTAAATATTAGTTCGTCAACAAACCTTCATCATCATATGTATTTTTATTTTAATATTAATAGTGTTATCATTACTGTCGATAATGTGTTTGTTTGTATCTATATGCTGAGTTATTTGATTGAGTATTCCTTATGTAATTCTTTTTTATTCATAAGTAACTAGTTTGTATAATTCGATGACTTTTAAAAACTATCCAATTTATATGATTAATCTATTCTATCTTTATAGTTTATTCCTATAATTTTATATATTTACTCTCGATTTATTAAAACTAACACACTACAACAAAATGAATTTTTAGTATCATTTTTAGCTGTAGTGACAGTTATTGTTAATTTTTAAAAAAACATTTATTCCATCAAATTATATTTTTTAAAAATATAAATTTCAATACTTAAATATATCATTGAGATTTTTTTAATAATCTAAATGATTTTAAGATAATATTTGTTCAGAACTTTCTCATTCATTAATAACACACACCCTATAAATACAAATATTTAAATCTATAACCTCTAAAAAAAATTACTCAAATATATCGTTGAGATTTTAAAATTATATAATTATATCATATTATACGGTGTAAAATTCTACGCCATGTTTAAGCTATTATTTTTCTTTAAAACTCGTCTTTCACATTGCGTCAGTGACAATTACTTGCTCTTCGTAATTAAAAATATAATTTACAATTAAAAATTTTGTGTTTATTTAAAAGTGGTTCGAACAAAGTTAAGGCCACGTCACTCTCAATTAATGATTTAAGATTAAAATAAACAAAATGTTTCAACTTTTGGTTTGTGGTTTATTATATATATATATATTCCTTTTGGTACAAAAAAATTATAGACTAAGGGTGATTCCCCACTTTAAGATCAACGCATATATAAGATTGAATTAGAATTTATAGATCAATCCTAAATGAATGTTTAATTAAATGAATGTTTATTTAAATGAATGTTTATTTCTTAACAAATAAAATATAAATTGTTGCTAGGTATATTATTTAGGCATCTAAGTGGTAGATATATGTCATCATCATTATAACATGTATTTGTCTTATATGTATCCAAACCACAATTAAAAAATCAAATATAAAATTAGAAAAGTTTAAGATTAGAAAAGTTTTTGATTTTTACATAATTAATTAAAATCTTATTTTAAATTAAAATGCTTAATTTAAAATTTAATGAATTTAATTCTTTAGTCAATGTCACGATATATATATATATTTATTTATATTTATATTTTTAGTACTTTTTTAAAATATAATTTTTATAACAGCAAGAAAACAAGAAGAAGAAGATGGAAAAAATACTGATCTTACATTGATGTTAATGATACAAGAATATGAAATATATTTAGCAGCCACCACTAAAATAACTAAGATAACAACTTATGTTAACTAACCAAACTGCCTAACTGAGTATATACAAAGTCGTCTGATATATGTATTATAGACCAGCTTGGTAATGAAAGAACGATATACATGGGAGAACGCAGCGTTTTGGTGAATACGTCCGCAAGCTGATCGGATGAGCGAACGTGAAAAAGCTTCAGAAAACCACTCCTGACTTTATCATGAAGAAAGTGGCAGTCGACTTCGATATGTTTGGTACGTTAATGGAAAACTTGATTGGTAGTAAGATAAAGAGTTACTTGAGTATAGGGGTGAGCAATTGATCGAGTCGAGTAAAAAATTTTCGAGTTGACGAGTCGTATTTTACAATTTGAAGTTGACTTGAAATTTTTTCGAGTCGAGTTGAAGAAATTCGAGGCGAGTTGTTCGAATTTATATATAAATTTAATTGTAATTATTTATAGTATTATAATACGGATTTATTCTAATTATTTTGTCTTTCTCTGACCATATAAGATATATATATTTCTTCATATTATTTTCACATTACAATGCTATTTAATATCACATACAATCTAAAATTATAAAATATATTTACAATATTATATTTTAAAGAAAGTGTTTTGAGTATAAAAGATTAGCGAGAGTATAAAGGAGTCAAAAAATGTGAAGAAAGAATTTGTACACAATTGTAGTCAAAAGACTAAATTGAGTAAAATGCAAAGTTAAAGGGCTAAATTAAAAAGAGAGATTATTTTTTAGTAAAAAAAATAAGATTGAAGTTACATAGGTATTTTATAGTGGTTGAGGAGAATGTGGTTTAAATTTGGTAAAAAACGTATTTAAAATGAATGATGAATTGAAGTAATACGGAAATCATACAAATTGAGGGACTAAATTGAAAAAATAAAAAATTTATAATCAAAAGTTGAATTGAAAGTTCATATATATTCTATGATGGTTTAGGAGTATGTAGTTCAAATTTGCTGAAAATTTAGTTAAAACAAAGGAGAGATTGAAGGAATATGAAATCAGAGATCAAATCGCAAATATGTCAAAATACTCATCTAATTTTTTGATTTTTCAAGTTGCTCAAAATTTTTAAATTTCAACTCGACTCAAAATCGAAAACTAATTGATAATTCGAGTTGACTCTAATAACTCGACTCAAATAACTTGAAATTAAAAAAAAATCGATTTTTCGAGTCGAGTCTTGCTCACCCCTACCCTACTTGCTTATCACATTACAACCTTGCGTGAGCCATGGTAATATTAAAAGACGAAAGCAGCGAAAGCAGCCAAACTAGTTCACAAGTTGCCACAGCCATGGCCCGGTATTCAGCCTCACAAGACTATTTCTTTGACTTCCAAGAGACAAGACTGTTTCCAAAGAATGTGCAGA